CGGTGTTGGTCTGCTGTATTGCCCTCCAGGTCACTGCACATGTCACGTGACTGAAAACTATGAATAGTGATGCAAGACACGGCAGCCAGCTAATGCTAATTAGCACGGATCTACCACTGTTTACTTCGTAACGTTTAATTTAGATTTATTGTCGTTTTAGGAAGACACATCCATTAACGTTGCAGTAAAGTTACTTACTGCGGTCTAACTGTTATAAAGTGTAGCAACAATCTCATTATAAAATACAGTCCAGCTCTCCCTGTCTGTCTATAGCCGCCAAACTTTCCTGGAGTACTGTGTGAATATGTGGCCCGCTGCGCTGTATGAAAGGTATGGAGCTGGTGTTGATCTGCCTCTGAGCCGGGAATGTTGAAGTAACAGAGCCTGGACATGTCTGGAGAAAAGCCACAGTTGGCATGGCGGTGTTTCCACGTTTATCGCAGGATTTCTGTATGAAAGCGGATGTGTTTTGGAGTATGCTCGCTCATGAGTTCAAGTGAGCACGCGGACGAGTACATGCCTGGTTGCAATCTTAAAACCGTAGTGGTCGCTGAAAACTCCAAAATGCCCCTTTAAATTATTAGTGTCTAAACATCCAAAATAATGAAATTTAGCTTAGCCCTCACACCACATGCTCATGCTGATGGTCTTACTCTAAGAAGGCTGTCTTATCATAGGAATTTGTCCACCTCATTGGATTGCTTCCTGACTTGTCATAATCAGTGTCAAATATATAAATTTTAAAAAATCTGTGTGGGTAGCTGTGAGAACCAAAAACGTATTCTGTTGCCTCAGGGCAACGCTATGCAGTAGAGGGTTAAGTTTATTTTTGATTTTCCCAGCATGTGCAAACCCATTGTTTTGTTGACTCAATCATAGATCAAAGAAGGGCTGTATCAGAGAATATACCATTTCTTATCTACAAACACTAATTCTTAATTGGTCCAATTTTAATACCTGTTGCAGTGTTTGCTTATATCAGCAGCTGACAGGAAATAAACTTGGATGCAGGCTATTTCCTAGCAACGCATTTAAGATGAAATGGACTCTATAGAGTATGTATAAATGCAGTGCGAGTGGTGATCAAAGTTGCCATTAAATAGTCCAGAGTAACACTTTAACTGGGATATGAGCCACTATTTCAAATACTATTTGCGTGTAAATGCTATCATTAATGCAAAGTCACACCAGATATTTTGCATAATGCGCAGCCACATATGCTCATACATGCACACGATTTTGAACACACATGAAAGGTAATTGCTCAGCCACACAAGAACTCATGCATGAGAGCCTAAAATAGAATTAAGCAATTATTAATATCCACATGTGCACACAAGGACACTAGCTGTAGATGACTGTATATGTATTTGGTTTCTGTCCTTTTAGCTCTACTCATCCGTCTCTTCCTCACTGTGTTTCTCTCTCATGCATATACACACGTAAGAAGCAAAGATAGTGTATCATGGCCGGGCAGATATTGCTATGTCAGCTTCTCTGTGCTGATGCAGCAATACCTCAGTTTATTATGGATTTCTCTCTTTCTCCTTGAATTTCCTTCTGCTCTGTCACTGAAATCCAAGTGACTCGTTAATGTGAGTGATTGATTTGGTTTTTTAGTGTTGAAACCTATTTGCTGTGGTGTGTTCGGCAATTCCCAGAGACAGTGTAGTAGTAGTAGTAGTAGTAGTAGTAGTAAATCTGTCGCTGGCCATCTTCTTCTTCTTTGTCTCTTCAGCCATTTTGGCTCTCACGCTGTCCCAATTGTTGTGTATTCCAAACCATGGATGTACAGTATTTATCAATAGATGCGGTGTCCAAAGATTGTGACCCATTCAAATGAAAAGCTGCTTACCCAGTGCACACCATCATCTTTTTTGGTATCCATAATGTCCACATGTTCTATTAAAGTCCAACTGAAGTTAAATAGCATTTTTTTGCACCCCCTATTTTTAATTGATCCGATAATACAATTAGTTTGCTGTCAGAAGAAGAAAGAAGCTAGCTCGGTATTCTCAGTATGGATATCATGGCAGAGGCTGCGAAGAGACTGAAGAAGATGTTGTCAGAGGAAGTAAGGAAGACAAAAAGAGAGCGTGAAAAACAATGTAGAAAATATGATGGAAATATAGCATCTGTGTTTGTTTCGTGTATAAATTCAAGGAACGTTAAAGTCTGCTCATCGCACCACACAGATCTGTTGTTTTAGTGAGCCGTTAATTTTCATCTCCTCAGTGGAGCATAAGCTTCATGCTTCATGTTATGATTAATTGGTTGAGTCTGTTTCAGGCTTTAAAAACAGGTGGATGGAAACACACCTATAGACAGATGGTCACACTGACAAACAGCCACAGACTCTGAACAGCAACCCACATTAGCTTGCTTCTGCTAACGCCTCCTTTCTACACCTTAGCTTGTTAAACGAGCAACTATACAAACATTCACAGGGGGAAAGTGCTCTTGTAGTGTCAGTAGGCTCCAGCACAAGTTTGTTTACTTTGTCTCTCATCCTCCTGCTTGAGCTGAGCCTGCCAGCTGCTGTCAATCAAACTTACACACACAGACACACCCCTCCAGCCGGCTGAGACAGACTCTGGAGCATTTCTGATTTCACTATTAATAACGCACTGACATTATGACGCTGTTTCTGATGGTCATTATTTCAGTTGTTTACTTGTTCAGTGTAAAAAGCACAAAACTAAGCCCACAAAAGCCCTGTTTATATTAAAGGGGGTGGGGGGGGTGCAGCTTTATATACATGCTTTGCATATTTAACAAGATTAAAAATGATTTATTATTTCACTTGAAAATCTATTTCATACAGTGCTGCATAGTCACCACAATGTATAACAAAAAAGAGGTCCAAAATTGAGAACTTGTAATTGTACAAATCTCATTCTCCGTTTATAGACTGCAGTTTTCCCTGATGCTTTTATTTCTTTTTCCGCCTTTCCTTTTTCTCCTTCATTGCTTTTGCACTCATCCCTTCCCATTCCATCCTTTCCCCTCTTCTATCTCTCCTGTCTTTTATCTCTCCGCATTTTGCTGCAGTTCAGGGTTTTTTTCATGCTGATGAGCCAAAATACTAACAATACCGGGGGCAGCTGCAGACTGAAGGAGAACTCTGTCCTTTCTTTCTTGGTTGTTTGCTTTCTCTCCTCAGATGCCCTTTGTCTGCTTCTCAACCTCCCCCCCTCCTCCTCCACTGTCTCCTCCCGACATCACTCTTCCTTTCATCCTTTCCTTTCCACCTAAATCCCCCCTCCCCTTCCTTCCTCCTTCAGTTTGTCATTTTGTTCTTGTCACTTCTTCATTTTTTCCTCCCTCCCTCTTTTCATCTGTCATTTCGCTCCCTCTGCCTCTCCTCGTCTCTCTCACTGGTCCCACAGAAACTGCTGGGTAATCCCACTTACTGGAACAGCCCGGCTAATTGGACTCAATAGTTTCTGACAGATTCTCTCCCTCTACTCGTGCTCTCTTTGTTTTCCTAAATATGTCTTGTATTCTGCAGTATACTGACTCCCTCTCTCCCTTGTCCTTCTTTCCTCTTCTTTTTTCCCCTCCTCCTCACTACTTATCTGCTCCTGGCTTCGGTCAAATCCTTCCGACCACTGTCTTTTCTCGTTGTCCTTTTCATTTCTGTTAATCCTTGGTGACAGGTTTCCCTCTTTACTCTTAGTTTGCAACACTCAGCAGTTCTCTCTTGGCACATGAGGAATTATTTCATGGGATGTATAACTCCTACAGGGACAGTAAGAAGGCTTGCGTAAGACATATTCCAGGGCTCGTGTCTTGTTGTATAATAGGCTAAAGCAATTTGCATACCGTATACTCTGTCCCATCGCCCACCCTCCTTTATTCTTTCGTCTTAAACCATACTGATAACACACCAAGTCAACACTAGCCAGTCTGCTTTTCTGAGAGACGCATTATGAAAACAATACATATTGCTTGATCTGATCATTTAAACATACCAACAGGTATGTGATAGATTGGCAGTGGGGAATTTTGAACTATTTCTACAGCTAAAGTGCCACCTACCGCTGTTGTTATATACAAATTATACATGGGGATTTTTGAAGGTGGATTGTTGGGTCAGTATTCCTAGTGTTATTGAAACACCTTTTAGACCTCCACGTACAGAGATAAAATTGACAAACTCTATTTTAAGTTAAAGAAATATATTGATGGATAGTTCATTGTTTCTCATAGTCAGTAAATCCTGGTTATGGTACTGGAAACCATTTGTTTTGCATGGATGAATAAAAAAAAGAGCAGCAATAGGCATTCTGGTGCATTGCAGGTAGTGGAGGGGACATTGGGCATGTACCTGTGTCTCCAGTCAGCCTCTCAACAGGGTGGGGTCATCGATCCAATGTTAAGTCAGATATTTGTAACATCAGATTAAAATAGCTTTTGTCACACACTACATCTTGCAAGTGGAATGTGCAGTGAAATGCTTTGTTACCATCTTCTGTAGATACGAAGTAGTGGAGGTAGTTAAAAGGGAGCAGATGTAAAAAAAATTAAATTAAATTAAAAAAAAGAGTAAATATGATATGTAACAATAAGTTACATAAGGGTAAAATTTACAATGAGTGTAACGTCAATATATATGTAAAGTTGGTGAAATTTGACAGTAGTATATATATAAAATATAAAGTGAATGCAAAATATACAATGGCAATGATGATATCCCAGAGTCTAAGAGTACTGTCACTGTACTGTCATCAGTGACAGGGGTCAGCAATTATTTGACTAGTGCAGAGACATCAGCAAAACACCACAGGAATAAAATGAATGTCTGATGAGTCCTACTGATGTATCCAAATCCAAATAAATAAAAAAAATACTTGACTGACTTCAATCTTCCTTTACTTGTTTATCTCACTGTGTCTCCCCGACTAATTTGATAGTTTGACATCTTAATCCTTGTGGCCTGGTAGAGCTGTCATTGTGTCTCATGTATGTATTTAATGCTTTCTCTCTCTCGTTCTCAGGAGGACCTCCTGATGTGGGCAAGATGCTGGGTGGGGAGGAGAAGGAGGAGGACCCTGATGCAGCGAAGAAAGAGGAGGAGCGACAGGAGGCGCTGAGGCAGCAGGAGGAGGAGAGGAAGGCCAAATATGCCAAGATGGAGGCTGAGAGGGAAAGCATGAGACAAGGCATCAGGGACAAGGTATAGTGACAGTAACAGCCAATATGCTGTCTAATAACCTAATGACAAAGTGAAATAACCTTTCATTTACCCAGCACAAGGGACCAAGTGAGTCCTCAGGTCTACAAATACAAAGAAAAGACAAACAGGGAACACATGTAACATGTGTACTTTTGTCTCCCCCTTCTGGCAATGAGAGTAATTACAAAAGCACTGGTGCTGAGTGTGCCTATGGGTGGGCTCGCCTCAGGCTTGTTTTCAGTTACAAAAATACAGAGACATTTCTACACCAAAGGTATACCAAAGGTGATCCATTTTTGTCAGTCGATCACTTTCTTTTTTTGACTGTAGCCAAATGCTTCCATTGAACTTTTTTATCTGGAGCATCTGAAACTTTTGCATTGTTGCCACAGACACCAGATTGAAAAACTCTTGTGAACCGTGAAATACAGAGAGATTTACCTGGCTTAATCAGCGTTGTGTGCACTCAGTTGGCAAGAGCTTGAATGCAACGGACGTTCATTTATATGTAAAAGTCCCGCACTCTTTTAACTCAGAAAATTAATCTTTAAAAGCTAACAATGGATGCTAACAGAACTGTAAAAACTAAAATGGAGAGAAAGAAAACAGACAAGCAAAAGTAAGTCTTGTGTCACATTCATGTGAGAAGTTTTGATGGTTTTGGATGCTGCGCTATCTTTTGATGTTTAAGTAGCTTCTAAAGGCTTCACATCTTGGCTGCGTGACAGCAAAGCTCTTTTTGTAACAGACCTGTATTTGAAATAGTCTATTATCACACATTTTTTGTTTGCTTTTATGTTATTTTTAGCTTTTTCTGAAATTATAAAATAGATCAGTGGAGCATCAGGAAGGAGTTGTACAGAACTGAGAGAAGCAGAAAGAAGTAGATGAACAAAATGAGGAGCCATGATTAAAAAGAATACATTTGAATTTTTAGATAGAAATGAGAGAAGTTAAATACATGCTCAGTTAACTGTTCCAATGCTCAAGGTATAATATGTTTTTTATGAATTATGAAACCATCCAGGTTTATATATTTTTTTTGCATGTTTATGCTTTAGATTTCTGTCTAAAAGGTGACATCCAGTGAAGACTTTTGCGTATAATGTGTATTTTATTTACTTTACTGAGCACAGCTGCAGTTAGTGTACATTCAGACAGTGTTTAACTTCCTTTCTCCACACACGTCAGGCTGTGGGGCTGCTGTGCACTTCACTGCAGAGACAGTGTGAAAGACAGGCAGTCTGTGGGTGGTGCAGGTCTGAGGGGAATACTGTGAATCAGCGCTATGATAAGCAGTACTCCTCAACTGGCTCCTCACCTCCTCTATTCTTCTTAAGTTCTCCCAGAGGAGAACAAAGAGCGAGGAACAATTCCCAAAATGCTTGTTACTGAAAGGTTTCTGTCAGCTTCCTCCACAGCTTTATCCCGTTGTGCCAGGTACGGCAAGACATGAACATATTATAGCTGAAGTCTGCAACTTTACGCATGTTCAGGCTAGGGTGTGACAGATGATGTAGCAAATAGTGTAAAGCTGTTTCATCCAATTGGGAAATTAAATGACATTGACATTATTACGAGAAATGCCACCTGACTGACGTGAAAACAATTTCAATATGGAGAGCATTTTTCTTATGATTTCGCTTAACTCTCATGAAAGTTAACAATGATGATATATATAAAAGCACACAGTCTATATTCTCTATTAAATTCTGCTCTTCTGGTTATGAGGATTGATAATTCCAGCCTTCTTTTCAGTGCAGCTTTGGTGGCAACAGCTTTCAAAACTGGTGTAATTTTTTTTTTGTGTGTGCCTTTGTCACGCAAATACATACAGCACATACAAATGTTTGACATGTACTGTCATAGTGTGAGCACTGACAAGACATCTACTGTTCTTGACATAATCCAAGCTGAAAGACAGACAGGAACGAGAGAAAAAGAAATATGAAGGATTAACAGCTGCTCAAAAGGGGAAAGGCTCCATAGGACGGGTGAAGTTCATTATTCAATAGGATGGATGAGGAGCAGTACAGTACAGTGCATTACGCCACATTAATGTTATATTGGAGTTATTGTAATCGCAAGTTTCCAACTCATAAAGAGCGTTCACATCTGAGTGGTAATTACAATTTGAAAACTCTTCCTGAAACAGCATATATACCTGACTTGGTACCTCACCCAAAGACCATTACTCAATATAATTAAACCCAAGTTTAATGGATGTAGCGTTATATCATTTCACAGTATATTCACCTGTGCATCAGCACACACACACACACACACACCAATCTGTATTATATCCATAGACTGTATATAAAAAGATTATATACCGTGCTTATGATGCTACAAGCAGAGCTATTGTCAAGCTTTTCAGGGCAGATGGCAACTCAGTCCCTAAAACTGCAATAATAGATATTTTTGGCCTCTTGAGGAAAGATGAACTCCACAACAAACCAAAAAACATCTAAGGAACAACGCTGGGATATGAATATGGAGGCACTGCAAGGAGGGTGTGGCTGACCAGGGGAAAACTATGGAGTAAACCTAAGATAAACATGATGGTTTGAGTCTGCTGATGCTATCATGCTAACCTTAATCATTTATTTTATTTCAATTGAACTTGGCTCCCTTAGTTGTTGCTCCCCCAATATTGTTTATGATTGGTAAAAATTATTTAGTTTGAGTGTGGTGGGGTGGCATGAACCTTTTTTGGCTTCTGGATGGGGGGGCATTGCAGAAAAAGTTTGAGAACCACTCTGTTACTGCAATGTAAATTGTGTAATTACAGCGTTTTTCTTCTTCTAACTTCCAAATATTTCTTTGACCACCAGTATGGATTGAAAAAGCGCGAGGAGGCCGAGGCTGAGGCAGCAGCTGTGGAGGAGCCTGCAGCCGGCAGCTTGACTCGACCCAAGAAGGCCGTGCCGGCCGGCTGCGGCGACGAGGAGGAAGAAGAAAGCATCATGGACACAATGATGAAATACCTGCCAGGCCCACTGCAAGACATGCTGAAGAAGTAGGCTAGCTCGTTACCTATTGCTAACGTTATCTAGCTTAGTTCATAGGCTACATTTACAAGTTTGGCTTAAATCAGGTCCCCCCATCCACATGACAGATATGGGCCTTGCTCATAATAAAATTAAGTTTAATCTGGTGTTTTATGGCGGGGAAATCAATCCAGTGTAAACCAGTTTTGTGAATTGTAGCCATTAGACTAAGCTAGGTTTACCCAGTGGCCGGTTGACTGATGTTAACGTTAGCTATGTTACACTAATGAAGCTAACAGCAAGCAGAGGGGCTAAAAACACAATGTTAGATGGTTTATCCTTCTAGTCTGAGACATTTTAAACTCCCTTTTCTCTCCTCTGCGATGGCTGCTGAGCTCTTCTCGCAGCACTAAAAAATAATATCCCTGTTCACTCAATTTGTACATAAATAAATGAATACATTACAGCCTCAAGGTGGCAAACAATCATACAATATTATATGAAATTATTATACTTATACTGTGTGTCTGTCTCTAAAATAAAAAAAAGTGATAACTTGATAAGCCATATTTTAAAAAGGAAATTTAAAGTCTACTGTGGTGTGCTCCTAAAGCTACTGTTTTGTGTTCGACCATGTCTGAAATTTATGTAAAACTTTTGCACACAGTGTTACACATTGTCTGTCAGACCTATTGTCTGTCTCCCCTACACAATCCCCCAATGGCCAACATCAAAGTGTGATGACATTCATGTAGTGTAGTGTTTAAAAGATGTTTCTATTCCCCTGTTTAGTGCGTCCTTATTATGTCTTGCATGCCATTTGTCTGGAAAAGTTTGTTGTGTGAATATGTATCAACTCCCCCCCCCCCCCAGCCCTTTTATCCTCTTCTTTATCATGCAAAAAATATTAAGGCAATAACTCCTAAGTTTGTGTGTTTTCACCATGTCAATATAACCATGAATAATATCAGTAATAAAAAAATGATATATGCATTCAGGAAATTTTAATTTACAGGTTTGCAGGGTTTTTGTTTTTTTGTTGTATCATTGTTATGATGAAGAATGACCGTGTAGCCGATACCTTAAGCTTTCAGCCATAAAACCAGAACTTACAGTATAGCCTATATACTATTACTTTCAGGATCTACTACTAGCGAGAGAGTACTGAATGAATCTGTATGAATAAATAAGACATATGTATTCATGATTTTTAAGCTATAATAACTTGAAAGTGGACTACGTGTATGGATTTTGCACCATGTGAAGATTTGCGAGAAAGAGACCACCTTCCCTCAATACACACACGCACACAGTGAAGTGAATACTGCAGTTTGGCTACTGATTTAGTTACATACCAAAACCAGAAGTGTTATAAAAGATGACGCGATGCTTGATTCAGTTCTACTTATTGTTGGTTTAGATGGGAGAATGAGCCGCTGAGGGCTGCGTGGTATGTCATGAGCAATAAAGGATTATCATGTATGTTTCTGCCTGAGATTCAATAAAAACTTAAAACCTTGTTCACAGATGTAAAAAATGTGTCATCTTCTGTTCTCTGTGATGTGAAGTTGGCTTCAAAACACGTGAAAAAAAGCAGCTGAAAGGAAAGCATATCTATGTTCCCAGGATCCTAAGTCCCCTAACCCCCTAACCCTAGAAGTAGGGAACACAGGACTCATGTTTCCACTATGTGCCATATAAATTTGGGAAACAAAGGACCCCAGTGAAAGATATAGTAGCCAATATACTTTTTAGGGAATATATTCACACGTTAAATACCTTGACTTTGTTATTGACCTTTTTTTCACATGTCACAGTAGAAAAGGCACAAGTGTAAATAACAAAATGTTTGATCTATTGGTGTGTACTCGAATAGAACGGAGCCATTGTTAATGTTATTAGTGGCACCTGTGCTTTTCCTACTATGACAAGTCAAGATGTCCGCTGTGAAAATGGCAGATTGTGACAAGCTTTGTGTCTGATTAATCATTTCTTCATTTAAGACATATTTTCTATCTAATCCTTGACTTTTAACTGGTATTAAAATAAATACTCCACAGACACCCTGCCATACTGATGAGACTACTTGTAAAGCAGACTAGAGCTGTGAAAGGTCATGGGTTGAATTAAACACGAATGTACTGGATTGATTAAACCCTCAGATTGATTACTCAGAGACATCAGATATTAGTGACTTACGTACTTTTTAAATAGCAGGAACAACTGTGCAGTTTATAAATCAATAAAATGTAATGCCCAAGGTAAGGGTAATTTTTGAGACTGTACTTTATTTGTACTGGGCTACATAATATTGTATGCATTTTCATTTTTAGCTGTAAGCACCCCCACGACAAAGAAAATATCGTAACAATAAAATCCTCACTCTTTTTTTAACACAGAGCATCAAATCTTACAATAAAAGACATTGTAATAAAGATTACAATATATTTTAGGCAGTCTACTACCCACTGTAATATTCTACATGGTCAGACACGTACTACATGTAAAATTGTTGCTTGTGAATGTGACATGGACATGAGATTGAAAATTTCAGATGACACACTGAAAGAAATTTGCGTTTTTATAGAAGGGAGACCACTGTTATTGTTGGATGGAACTGGAGTCCATTATAACACCATAACTTGTTAACTTGTTCCCCCTCCATACTGTAGAGTGTCCCACCTTGCACTCACACACCCTGACACACAGCTGCATTTTCAACTATCTTTGCTTCTAAACATTTAAATTTATTTATTTGTGTGGCAAACAACAGGCACCAACCTGGTGTGTCCCTTTTCATGTCACTTCACACTGTTTTGTACCTCTGAATATTTTAACGGAGTGAGTGAGCTGTCTACAATCAATTTTGTTCTTTGGGAACACGATTAAGAATACGGTGAGTAAAAGGCTCTCTGCACATCGAAAAGCAATTAAACTCCGAGAACCAGAAGTCCTTAAAAGTAAATGTGGTTTATGTTGTGATCACTGCATTTGCAGCTTTACTACACAGTTAGCAGGAGAGTCTCACTATTGTTGGTCTGAAGAGGGCAACATAGTAAGAGATGGAGAGCCCACCTCAACAGACTTTATGTATTTCTTCCATTTTGCCACAGAGTGTCACTGTTGTTTTTATATAGGCGAACACTGCAGTGTCGAGCAAGATATCCAACCAAATGTTTAAGACAAAGACATTGTTTTCAAGCTTGATTTATTTCATAAACAAAAATTCAACCAAAAAAAGGGTGTACTATCTAACAAAACAAAGATTCAAGCACTAAAATATCAGAAATTACAAGACAGAAGAAAAGTACAGGACACAAGATGACTGTGATTGGTAGTAGTCCTCGTCCTCTTTTACCTTTAGCATTCTATTCCTTATTGTTTTACAAATGTTTACATCCATAATCACCTTCTGCTGAGCAACACCCATAGCACTAAGAAGAAAGTAACAAAGCAGTGATAAATAACATTAAATGGGTTATCTAACCCTTAAACATGCTGTCATTTTTATCTCAACATCAAGGAAACACGGATGGTACACTAAAGTTAGTTTTACCTGCGAGTCTGCAACTGGTAGGTTTACCCATTTTCTTTAAGCAGTAAATACAGACCTTGAGCCATTCACACAAGAATGCAGACCATTTCTAATGATTTTTACTGGAGCTGTTCTTTTCAGACAGCAACATAATTGGCTCTAGTTCCTGGTTAGATAGCTGCTAACCCTTCTTTTTCTTATTGTGCTGTTAACTTTAATATCAGAAGAAATCCCATTAAGTGCTGCGAAATAAACAGCCGTGTTTATCATTACGTAGTTGTGAAGTTTGAACTGGCAACAAGGACATAAGCATGTATTCACAGTCTGACCTTGATGAGAATTACCTTTACCACGTTGAAGTCTTAAAAGACCAGTCCAGGATCAGAGTGCGATACCATATTTCAGATGTTCAGTGGGTGATTTATGACCCGTCACAGCCAACAAGCATTTTGAAACTGCAAATAGTCTGTTAACATTTGTTTTATTTAAATAAAATGGATCTGTGTGGATCTGACAGCTGTAAAGACATTAGAGGTTTCCTGTGTTTTTAAATCTGTGTCTACCAGTCATTACTGAAATACTCCAAACCTGGAGTGAGGCGTTAATGTCAAAACCTGTAATAAACAGTCACTCAACAGTACCACCCATTTCATGTTAAACCACACGTTTTAGCTCCAGTAAATAAAAATAAACTAACACAAACAATCAACAAACCAGACCTGGTTGAAAGTGTAGTACATTCAAATACTTAGAGTTACTTTGGGTTATTTCTGGTCTGACTTGCATAGTGAGTTGAAGACAATAAAGTATTTATAACAAGATGATGCTCAAAGGAGATTTTACATAGAATATCTAATTTCAGTAAATAAAACTTGAATTGGAAGTTGACATTCCAAGCTAGCAGGACTGCTCTGCGGGGAAGGGTAATAATAAAAGCTGGATAATGTAGCAATGTAAAGTGTAATTATAGTGTACATTTTCATTTACAGAAACATTTTTACACAGGTTATTACACCATCCAGCATAATTAAGAAAAGTTATGTCAAGTATATGAATGGCTTCTGACTCTTTCCCAGGTCTGTCACAAATAAATATACTCTGTATATGGCGACAAATCTCACAGTAGCCAGGTTTACAAATCTATCTGTCCATTACTGAAGAATCTTTATGTATAATACTGTTTAGACCGAATAGGAAAAACACCATAACATCAGATTTTCATGATTAGATCAAAGTCTAACATTACGGATTTTTTTTAGGTCTAAATTAAAATAGGACATTGGCTTTGGTGTCGACCTTGGAGCTACATCAGAAACTTTTGGGAACAGCAGTAATGACAGCACAACTCATTTACAGCATAATAATAATAATTAGATTTCATTCAGCTCAACAGTAGAACCAGGGATTCATCATTCAAAATCAGACCTCCAGCCCCTGTTATTAAGTAATCCAGACACTTATTAATATTCAAGGTTTCATGATGACAAAGTAGGCCTTGCCTGGTTAGTTATTTCAAGCCTGGAACCCAAGACTAAATTCAAACTTCAGAGCACAAAAAATAAGTACACAATCTCACCTTTTGCATGCACTGAAAGCTCAGAAGGCGATGCTGATTCATCCCATTGGATCCTTTAATATCTACTTTAAAAAGAGTCTGGAAGGTAAAAGGAGTTCAGAGAGTCTCTGAACCCCAAACAATTGAACCTGACGTGGTGGGCATGGTCTTCTGGGTAGGCCATCGGAGGGTGCGAGGCTGAAGAAGATTACAAGGCGGGTGTTGGAAAGATGGTAGGGGTCGAAGTGGAACAGAGGATTGAGGGAAGCCCTGGTTTCTACACATTCGTCCGACACTTGGGGAAGATGGGTCCTCCCTCAAGCCTTCTCTTTCTTACTGTAGATGGGAGAGGAGATGAGAGGGACACAGGAAGAAGAAAAAGAATGACAGATGAAGAAAAAAAGAGAGGTGTAAGGGGTGGAGCAAGGAATGGAAACAAGGAGAAAGAGAAAAATTAGAAGAAAAAAACAGAATGCAAGAAGTTGGAACAACCAATCAATTTTAGCTAAAGCAGAGCAAAGTTGGCCTGCCTTATTTGCTTCACATGAGAAAGCAAAGAGAGGCAACTGAAAGAAAGAAGGTACTGGTTTTTAAAAAGCAGGACGAGAGCAGGAGCTTTTGAAGGACAAAACAAAACAACACAAAGGCACTGATAAGAGCAGAGCTGCATTATCCCATTATGGTGCCCAGGGACGCCACTGAAGATGTGGGCCGCTACTGACCCTCCTTTCCTCCCATATTGCGTATGTAGCTGTTAGATATACTACCAGGAATTCGTTTGTAGTAACTTGATTCAACACAATTATTTTTAGCAAAGTGCACCAGGTAATGACAGTATAGTGAAACAATGAGGGCCAAAGCTAAGTTCAAACTAAGCCTTAGCTTACTCATTTATCATTGCACTCATATAACACTGTCAAACAAGAGATATTGTCTGTTTTGTTCCCCACTTTCTCCTTTCTTGTAAAAACCTGCTACCTAAATTACCCACAATACAGTTTGGTCAGAGATCCAGGTGTGCTATGCTAGTAGCGGCTACGTAGCCTCAAGCAGATTGCTAACTGGGCTACAGAGGTCGGGTAAGCTCGCTTCTTTCTAACTCTACATCCCCAGATTTTTACATTTGAAAACTCGTAGTTTTCAGCCCCAACTGACACAGTAAAAGTAACATCGCTTGAGGCAATTTGATCAGATTTTGTATAGCTCCCTCTGAAGCCACCAAGGGCTTAAAGGGCATGTATGGAGTAGTGCTCATGTAAATAGAGTTTGATGTGTAAAATCAGCACACTTGCCTTTTAGAGCCCCTATCCTTTCAGTACTGTAAATTAGCAATGCATACAGTATTAAACAAGTCCACATTTTTTTAAATTATCACAAACAGAGCAATCCTAAAAACTTTTGGGGCCATTGAGGGATTTGGGACCATAGGGCAGCTGCCTATTTTGCC